TCAGAAGTGGGTAAAGTATTATTTACACAAGAGCTGAGACAGAAGAATTGAGCTTGTGAGGCAAGCCGAGAACTGGGACTGTGAGACAGGACAAGAACTGAGACAGGACAAGAACTGAGACAGGACAAGAACTGGGACTGTGAGACAGGACAAGAACTGAGACTATGAGATAGGACGAGAACTGAGACAGGACAAGAACTGAGACAGGACAAAAACTGAGACTGTGAGACAAGACAAGAACTGAGACTATGAGATAGGACAAGAACTGAGACGAGACCTAAATTGCCTACCTGATCCCAGTGGCCAAGATTTCCAGGCATCTCAGTGTCCCAGTTGGACAGGAACCCGAACACACCGAGCCGGTAATTGATAGTGACTACCACTACACCGCTCAGTGCCAGGGCGGAAGCGTTGTAGTCGGATCCGGCCCCGCCCACCAGCCCGCCCCCATGGAGCCACACCATCACAGGCCACCGGGACGGGATGGGGTTACCTACCCTTGTCGGCCTGTGGACATTATAAAGGAGAAGAGATGGAGTTACTGACACTTGCAAACCTGTGGATATTAAAGGGAAGTAATGGGGTTACCTACCCTTGTAACCCTGTGAAAATAAAAAGAGAAGAGATGGGGTTACCTATCTTTGTAGGCCTGTGGACATAAAAAAAAAGGGAGGGGGGGGGGCTCCTTTTTGCTGACAAACAGTCCTAAAGTTATAGAGAAAATTGTATAGAAGATGAGAAAAGAAAAAAAAAAGAACTAGACAGTTGCATCGATTCCAGTCCCAGTGGACAAACATCCATCGTCCATATCTCTCCTACTTCTTTTTTTGTTGTGTTTGTTACTCTCTTGTAACACCTCTAATCTTTGTCACTTATATGACCTTATTGTGTTGTAAGTGCCATGCAACTCATGCTAAAACAAAAACAAACAGTGTTCAAAGAACTGTAAAACTCATACAATAGCACCACGGCGTGTGGCAAATGCAGACTAAGTGAGCACTCACGTGTACACGTTGAGGTAGAGACAGTCCTCACTCATGCCTGTGTTGTTGACCGGGATACTCGCAGGACTTTGGGGGCAGCGGTCGCCGTAGCCACGGGCATCTCTGACCCCTGTCCAGCTTTTGGCGGGCTTGGGACGCTTGAAGCGAAGGTCACCTGGCGGCGTTATATTATGACGTATGGATTATTGACCAGCTGAGAGTCGCATACTAATATCTGGAACTAACGCGCCTTTTACTGAGAGCTTACTAACTGCACTTTGTCTGTTCCTGAGAACTGGTATCTGTGGTGTATCAGTTAGGTGCTTCA